AAGGGATTTTCGTGTCTGACGAATCTGTTGGTGGCTCGCGAAAATTGGGCGGATGCAGTGGATAACGGCCACACGCTGGACGTGCTTTTCGTCGACTTTTCGAAGGCATTTGACAAGGTACCCCATTTGAGGCTCGCGCAAAAGCTGTCCTCCTACGGGGTATCTGGCCGCGCCCTTCATTGGGTGACTGCCTTCTTGGAGGGTAGAGAACAATGTGTACGGGTAGGCCGGGGTCTGTCATTTAGGCAGTCTGTCCTCAGCGGCGTGCCGCAGGGCTCGGTCCTTGGACCGCTGTTGTTCTCTATCTATGTGAACGACCTACCCACGGAGCTTGAGGTACCATCGCTGCTATTTGCTGATGACCTGAAGCTGTGGAACATTGTTGATGTTCCTGGGGGTTCCGAAGCTATTCAGCGAGCATTGGATAAGCTTTGGGACTGGTCTACTTTATGGTTACTGCCCATAAATCAGGCAAAGTGCTCCGTTCTTCGAATTGGAGGAGGTTGTCCTCCTGCGAAGTACTTGGTCGGTGGGGTCGAACTCCCCCGTGTATCTAGCCAGGTTGACCTAGGCGTCGTACACTCTTCGGCGTTACACTCCGGCGACAACTGGAAGAAGGCCGCAAGCAGAGGTTTACGCATGTTGTGGTTAATCCGACGTTCTTTCGGAGTCTTGACGGGCGGCATCTTTACGAGGCTGTTCTCGGCTTTCGTTCGCCCTCATCTGGAATACTGCGTCCAGGCTTGTCCGCCCTGCCTCGTCCGGGACAAAATGGAGCTAGAGAGGGTTTTACGAGTGGGTACTAGGTTAGTCGAGGGATTACGGGGACGGACGTACCCCGAGCGTCTACTTAGTTTGGGAATGCATTCAATGCACTACCGAAGGCTTAGAGACCTAATCCTAACCTACCGTATCTTGACTGGGAAGGTTGGTCCAGATTTGTCTTGGCTATTCAGTCCCGCTAGATTGTCTGTTCTACGCGGTCATTCGTTGAAGCTGGACAAACCGCGGTCCGATCGGATTAGGGCGGAAATCCGGCTGTCACGCCGAGTTATCGACCGCTGGAACATGCTTCCGGAAAGTGTTATCAGGGAATCTAGGGTTAAGGGGTTTGAGCGGCAACTTGACGCTCTTGGGTGGCAACACGAAACCTTTCCATTTTCCTGAGTAACTCACATCTTCGTACTTCGATTTTCTTTTCTCTACTTTTCTTCACGTATTGGTATTATTTTCTTATTTAAGTGCACTTCCCTATTCTGTACCTTCGATTTCTCTTCCTATCCTTTGCTTACTTCATGTGACTGCCACAGCAGGGACTGCTAGGGCAGGAAACGTGGGCATTAACTGGTTGGCCAGGGTGCGATACGGGTGTTTCCGTTTTAGATCCATCAATAACTGAGCACTTCATCAATTCCTGGCTCAACGATCCACTCAAGATGGAACACTCACGGGATTTTCCTATCGTTCCAGTCCCCATCTGAACTGAACTGAACTTACCTAGGAGGACCTTGTTCAGTCTACCAGGTGTAGGATGGCGCAAGGCTCGAGGTGGACAGAAGTTGACCTGGCAGCGGGAAATGAAGTCACTGACAACCAAAATGGGTGCAGTTGGTCCGTCTCGCCATTCGGGCCGGAGTTCACGTGACTCACCTTGTGCTTGGCTCGAGACTTTACAGGACATCGCTCGCAACCGACACCAGTGGCGCGTCTGCTGCCGTCTCCTAATCGGATTGTCTGTTTAAAGTGTTTGGTGCTGTTATCTGCGGGGTAATGGCTGATCAAGACGCGTAGCGGTGAAAGCCGCAAGGAAGCTGTCTCGCCGATGCCGCCTTATCTTTGCACGATAGCCAGCTGTTTGTGACGGAATGTTGTCTGCACAAGGTGTAGGCGCCTTGACCCTGAATGTTTGCTTAGGGCATTAAGGTTTTCAGGCAAGTCTACCTTCTCTCCCTCTTCTTATTCTTTGTTTCATAGGTCCTCATGGTTGTATGGCAGCGAAGCATCAGTTCAAATGGCTGATGTACTGCTGTTGATGATGATGCTCCAGTGGGCGGAGTAATTCCATACTCGAGGTCCTGCCTCAAGGTACAGGTTATCAAAGCTCTGCGACTGCCGGAGCCTCGGAGATACCGTGGTGCCGAATTCATGACGGCTATCCGCTGTGCATGATCGGTGTGGCTTACAGAGCACCACTGAGTTCAGGCATCCGTCTATTCCAGTCAACAACAACCAATGGTCAAGGAAGGAACTGTCTGCTAATGGGCGACTTCAATGCACCTAGTGTCGACTGGAACCTTCTTCACTGTAGTCTTTACCAAGATTCTTTCGAAGCTGGCTTTCTCGACGCTATTCACGAATGCAATCTGATCTAGCACATCTCAGCACCAACACCAAGCATACTTGATCTCGTTCACATCTGCGCTCTTTGATGTCCATGGCCTAAAGATTCTCTAACCACTCGGCCGGAGTAACCACTCAGTCTACATTTGGGCATGACGCCTTGCCACGGGACATTATGTTGCAATTTTTAACGTGTTGTCCCATCCAGATTACAATTGACAAGCACCACAGACTGGACCATTCCACAATCCATGAAGCTTGATGAGGCATGGATCTTACTACGCTCAAAGACGATGTCGGTCATCCAAAAAGTTGCTCCACCAAGGGCAGGTTTTTCCCCAAAGGCACCCCCTGGATCGACCGAGGTGAGATCCCTGATGGACAGACGACGTAAACTGTGGGACAGATTCAAGTCAACACATGTAACGTCAGAGTACCCGAAGTACAAAGTGGTCAGAAATCTGTGCACTCTAATAAAGCGCCAGAAACGATCACATTCGGAACACAGCCTAGTCATGCAATCACGAACCTGCCCGAAACTGGAGCGAAACATCAAGGTTGGCAGTGGTATCCTTGCTCTATCCTGCCAGGAGGACAGTGCTCCACGAAGATGACGAGAAGGCTCAACTACTAGCCCCGCAGTACTCCTCGATCTACTCCGTGGAACCGTCACTACCTATTGTCGATCTGGCAACGCAATATTCTCCTCTCGAGCAAGTCGAAATCAATCCCGAGATAGCCAAGAGACTCCTTGAGCTGAACCCTAACTCCGCACCGGGCCCCGATGGACTTCACTTCCTATTCCTCAAGATGGCAGCAGCATGCATTGCTGATCCAATACAAGTTTTCCGGCGTACTCTTGCAGACGGGCGCCTACCACCTGACTGTAAAGTAGGGATTGTAGTGTCCAAGTACAAAGGAGGGAACCGGCACGATCGTGCAAACTATCGACCGATATGCCTGACGTCTGTGATCTGCAAGCTCATGGAACGGATCGTCAAGCGCGCCCTCCACACCCACTGCGAAAGTCTGCGCGCCATATCTCCAGTTCAGCACGGATTTCGCAGGGCTCGCTCCTGCGTCTCTACCCTGATGGCTGCCAAAGAAGCATGGGTCAAAGTGTAGACGACCAAAGGCACCTAAATGTTATCTACATTGACTTCAGCAAGGCCTTTGACAAAGTCCCACACAAACTACTTCCGCCCAAACTCCAAGGAATTGGCGTCACCGAAAACGTCATTGTATGCGTTGCGGACTTCTTGAGATCTCGAGCACTTCAAGTGAAGGTGAACCAAACGCTGTCTGGCTCTGTGTCTATAATTAGCGGTGTCCCACAAGGCTCTGTCCTTGGGCCGGGACTTTTCAACCTCTACATTATTGACCTCCCTGCTTAGTCTGTGCTGGTGATCTCAAGCTATGGTCAGAAGTAGCTAGCCTTGAGGACGCGGACAGACTCCAAACGGCGCTGGACCAGTTGCACGATTGGTCCGTCAAGTGGCAACTACCCGTTAACTACACCGTGCTGTTCTTCCGATTGGTAAACCGGATTCATTCGGTGTATACCACATTGGTAGATATCTTCTCAGTAATGTTTTGCACCAGAAGGATCTGGGGGTTATCATGTCACATGAACTTAGAACTTCTCCAAGACACCATGAGGAAGGTCGCGGCCGCAAACGGGATGCTGGGTACTCTATGGAGGTCGTTTTCCCATATCACACCGGCAATTAACAAAATTCTGTTCACCTCACCTATTCACCGGATATTGGAGTATGGGCTTCCAGCTACCTATCCTCTCTTAAAATCTGAATGCGAATATCTAGCAAGTGTTCAGAGGCGTGGCTCGAAATCCGTCATGGAGCTTCCTAGTCTTGCTTACCCGGTTAGACTCAGAAAGCTGAACCTATTCCCAATGGATTATAGTCGGCGTTGTGGAGATTTTTTATACACCGGACGGATTCTAACAAGAGAACTTGGGAGTGAGGTACAAAAGCTCTTTCGGCTCATCGTGGACGGCTCGACACGAGGCCACAAGTGTAAGTTATGCATGAGCTAAATGCTTTACGCCTGTCCTGAGGTTGTCCTATCACTTAGTGTAGTTAGTGATCGGAATAGCCTACCGGATATTGCTTCTGATGCACCGCCAGAGCAGTCTCAAACGGCTGCTTGTCTGTCATCTGATGAGTACGACAGGGTTCTTCTTCCTACCGCAACGGCGACGATCCCCAGGGGAATGCAGCTTCGCAGCCAATTACGTCAAATTTGAACTGAATCGGAAGCGACAGAGCTGACAAGGGTGTCTCCTTTTGCTCCCCACACTAATGAACCAACAAAGTACTTTCCGGAAAAGCAACACGCAATTGGAATATTCAGGGCAAAAGAGAAAGCACTTGTCAGATAAATCGGGTCTGATTCAGTACTAGGTTGGTGCATGCTGTCTAGCGATATTACTCCTTCTGAGATCGTCACCATTAAAGTAAGAGCAGCAGGACCCTGCCGCGATCATTACTCAAGCAATCGCTTGAATCTTTGTCGCTTGCAGATGTTAGATAAGAAACGAAATATCGACGAAACTAGGGAAAAATCCTAAAGGAAAAAGCGCTCAAGAGAATCTCTCAGAGAACCTAGTATTCCACACACAAAAAACAATGCAAACTCACGGCTTATGGCTCCAGAAAGCGAACACGGAGCAAGTGCACGCGCACACCAGGGAAGCCGTTCGTCCTACAGGAGTTCAAACAAAGACGGATTTTTCAAGCATTCCTAAGCATCAAAAACATAAAATGTGCCTTCCTATTTTGCAAAGTATAATATTCGTTGGTGGTTATTCGCATAAAATTTAAACTGCTATTCAAAGTATGATCAAAAATTTTTGGAAAGAATCATTACGTCTGTGTACGCAGGTAGAAAGCATCTTAAATAATAACTATTCTGGTTGTGTCACACCAAAACATTTTCTGTTTGCTTCTCTTATTTAGAGTGGTGCCACCATCATTGGAGTAAATCTGCGTATCGGAGTGTCTGCTTCCTCCACAAGTTATGTGCTCGATGGGAGTGAACTTCCTCACTTGACTCAGCAAGTTGATCTAGCTGTCGTCCACTGTTCTACACTACACTCTGGAGACAACTGGAAGAAGGCGGCTGGTAAATGCTTCCGGTTTTTGTGGTTTATCCGTCCTTCTTTCGGGACCATAACCGCTATGTGTTTGTGAAGCTCTTCTCAGCGTTTGTGCGACCCCACCTAGCATATTGCGACCAGGCCTGTCCACCATGCCTTGTCCGGGACAAAACGGCACTAGAAAGGATGATGCGTGTCGGTACTAGGTTGGTCAAGGGATTACGAGGGCAAACGTACCCCTTGCGTCTACTTAGTTTAGGGATGCAGTCAATGCACTATCGAAGCATTAGAGGGGACCTAATCCTAACTTACCGTATTTTGACTAGGAAGGTTGATCCTGAGTTGTCCTGGCTATTTAGTCCTGCTAGGTTGTCTGGTCCCTGCGGGCATTGTATGATGCTGGACAAACCGCGGTCCGATCGATTTAGAGTGGAGACACGGTTATCGCGTCGAGTCAACGAGCGCTGGGACCTGCTTCAAGAAAATGTTATCAAGGAAGCCATGGTTACGGGGTTTGAGCGTCAACTAGACGCCCTTGGGTGGCAGCACGAAATTATTCTTTTTTCATGACTAATCCACATCTTCTTACTTCGATTCTATTTTCTTTACTTTTCCTCGCTATTGGTATTATTCTCTTCTTTTAACTAATTTCCCTTAGTCTGTAGCTTCGACTTTTCTTCCTTGCTTACTTACTTCACGTAACTGACATAGCGTGGACAGCTAATGTAAGGAACGTGGACATTAACTTGGTGGACCAGGGTGTTTTTCGGTTGTTTTCGTTTTAGACCCATCAAGAAATCGGAGCATCCCTATCAACTTCAGCATCGACGATTCGCTCAAGAAGGAACACTTACGGCATTCATCCTATCGTTCCAGTCCCACTTGAACTTGAACTTGAACATAAGCTGCAAACGCGAATGTAGCTGCAATCGTCATAATCTGGAAACATAACAGAGATCGATGCGATTGCATTTTCAATTAATGTGATCTGAGGTGCGTGCACAAATACTCAATGTCACGGCGAGTGTCGTGTTTCACGGTCCGATCATTTTTTCCCTGAAATCCTTGTTTGGGAACAGTATTTGAGTAACGGTGAAGTAATAATGTGGTTTTTCCGGCTTCATGGTGCCTCACAAGGACACCGAAGTTCTAACATGCTCTTACCTCCTAACTGTATGTCTTCTTTTGCCATACCGCGATTGCCGTGTATCGCCGTTCGACCTGTATTTCTCGGAAGCTCTTGGTCGAAACGGGGTTGAATAAAACTGCAAAAGGTGGACTTTCGCGGGTGAGGCTTTTTGAAACGTGATGCTTGCTCGGAACTTGCATACTTCACGCTTTTCTCCTACGTGATAAAGTGACATTTTCGAACTCTCCCTGTGAACATTCACCTGTCACAACCAAGTGAGTTATCATCAGTACCCGTTTGTTTCCTAAGGTATTAGCTGATCGTACTCTCGTCGCTTGCTCATTCGCTTTCCGCAAACCGGTTCGTACCTGCATTTCTCCTCTATTAATCTGTTCGTTTTCCTCGCCTGTGCCACGCGATAATGTGGGGTGCCCAGCGCCGGCTACCGACCCCTCGGGCAGAATACAGTGCTGTAGTTGTCATTAATTATTCTATGAGCCACGTACTGGTTTACTTCCAGAGCAATACGCGCTTGCGCCATCGCACGAACGTGTGCTTTATACCTGCTTTTACTGTAGGGGTTGGACTCATCGGTGTCCGTGGGCAGCAGCTGGTAGCGCAACACTAGTATCAGGGGTTGATAACTAAGCATCTAGACGGCAAATGTTAACTTCTACGGCTAAGAAAGTCGAAAAGCTACCGACTAGCTCTGAAATCTTGACCTCTCAGCCAAGGGACTATTGTAGACGCTTGTAGTGCAACAAGCTCACTTGGTTCGACTCTTACAATAGCCACTGTAAGGTTTCATCAGTCTATGAAGAGCCCCCAGATTGTGCTTTGGACCCCGCGCTTAGTGAAGTAGAAGTGTATACCCTGCGCCTAACCGAAGAAGGTGAAATGACTTTTTTAGTAATCGCACTGTCTCCATCTGAAGTCAGTCCGACGCGGGATACCTAGTCAGTTCCTTTGAATGCGACCCAAGTTTTGCTGCCTAAGGCATTGACTTGTAGGTCCACAGAACCAAAACCCACTGCGGACGTACGCCCATCAGTTTCGACAACAGGAGTAGTAAATACTCATCGTCCCAAAGGTTTATTTACTACTTGTAGCCTCATTATTAGGGGCGTATCTAAACCCACTGCTAATCCTCAGACGATGCGTACCATGGATTATCTCCAATATATTGGACTGTGCTTCTTAAGGACTACCACCGGCGTCCCCTAGAGTAACAGTTAGAAAACTCACAAGATTGGCAACATACAAGTCAGGGAGCTGAACCCAGACCTCGTTGTTTACGAGTGGTTCTTTCCACCCCAGATGAGCGCCAGACACTCCTCAGCCTTGCTTTCAAACTCAAGGGTTATGGGGTAAGTGTACAGCCGGACCTTCCTTTGGCAGACAAAGGGAAGCTCAAGAAAGCTATCCAAAACTTTAAAGCGCACTGTGACGCTGGGTAGAAGGGTCTTCAGTTGGTGGGTTGTCGGGTGGTGAGCTGGCGGCCACTACCCTGCCAGAACCCGTTCTGGTGGCGCATTATACCGATAACCTTCAGGTAGTTCTTAGTAACGTGCGTAGCTTGCGAAACAGGATGTGCGAGGTCAGCGCTCTTGTGGACCATACCCGAACTGACGTCTTTGCAAGCATCGAAAAGCGGTTGTCATTTGACATTATTAACAACGAGGTAGGCTTACCGGGCTACGGATTACTGAGAGCTGACTGCACATCCGACCGTGGTGGTGGATGCGTGGCTCATTAGCTCAGCTCCACCTTAATTACTTCAACAATGTAGACGTTTCACTTACGGATGGGGCTACAGAAGCCCTTTCAGATGAAGGGCGTAGCTCCAAGCAGCTACCTATGTTGTTAATATAAAGGGCACCCGACAGCAATTCGAATGGGCTCATTGGTCTCCTTCGCGACCAGTCAACTACCGGGTGCCTGATTATGGGAGATTTTAACCTCTTGGAGATAAACTGGCAAAGTTTTGCAGGTCAGTCAGCAGCGGGTGGGCTGGCCACTGCTCTTCTCGACATAACGTTGCTGGTACCCTTACACTCGTTTGTTGATCAGCCCACTAGGTGCATGGAAAGTCAAGCTTCGCCCTTCCTAGATCTAATCTTCGCTAAGTCTCTATATTTAAAAAGTGAACTTACGTATGTACCGCCTTTGGGAGCTAGCGATCAGGCATGTTTGTCATTCCACTTTGCCCTCTTCCGAGATTATACTGATGACAAAATTCCTGGTCCGAATATATGGTGAGCGGATTTCCCAGCGATCAGAGCTAAGGTCACAAATTCGCGCTGCATCATCTCTGTCGACGATGACTTGCAGACCGCTTAGGATTACTTGAAGTCGTACTTGAATGAGGTGTCTGTTTCTCATCCGCATTTCTGTGAGAAAGGCTAAAAAGGTGAAGCCTCCATGGTTAGATTCAGCTGCACGTCAACTGATGAACAGACAGACCAAGTGTAGAGGGGCCGCTTCCAAGAATGGCTCTGGGGAGCTCTTCGGAGCTAGTTGAGAGCGGATCGCGAAAGACGGCTAGCGACGAGCCTGGGCCCGGAACTACGGAGCGGGAATATGTGGACAGCGCAATAAATCAGACAACTACGCCGCTAGCGGAGCCCACAGCACCGAGGCCGAGCCGATTGACACAGCCCAGAACAAGCAACTCGAGAGCTCTCGAACGACTCCTGGCCGATCCAAATCCGGTACAGAGAAGCGGAGATCGAGGCGAAAACAGGAAGGCGGGACTTCCAAGTCAGAGCTCCCGAGGCGAAAGGACTGGCTCGCCTCTAACAGCCGTACCTGTGTTGCATGGTGGGACGGAAATCTAGTCGATTTTCGATGGCGCGCGTGAGACTTGGAGGTGCCCATTTTCGGTGTGCAATAAACGTCTACCTCCCTGTCTTGTCGTTCTCGCTACACTGGTGCCGTGACCAATCGCGATGGAGTTGACCCGGTTGGAGCAATTTGCGGCCGGTGACGTGGAGGCGTGGCTCGATGAGTTCGACGGAGTTGCGGCTTGCACGGGTGTGAGGGGATGCAAATTTGCTAATTGCTTTGGGCACACGGTTGAGTGGACGATCCAAGGCGGTGTATCTGCTCACTCAAAAGTCCAAACCCGGTTCTTCGTTCGCTGAGATGAGGGCTGCCTTGTGTGCAGAATTTGGGAAGGATCTGGAGAGAGAACGAGCACTGCAACGATTTCACGCAGCCAGATGGGACGAACAGGAGGATTTGATGGTATTTTTCCAGCAGCTGGACAGACATCTAACGATTGGGCTCCCCGAGTTAGAGGGTAACGCAAGAGAGCGCCTACTGAAACAGCAGTTTATCCGAAGTCTGCCCGAACCACTCCATGATCAGGTGAAATTGGCGCTGATGGTGGGAGACAGCAAAGCGTTGGATCTGGTGACGGTCGCCCAGAATTTGTCGGAACGAGTGACAGTGAGAAGCATCCAGCATGCTGAGTTG